GGCGCCGGGTGGCGCGGGCCGCCTGCGCTCCGCCCGCCGTCCGGTCTGCCTCTCCATGGCGCGCCGTCAGCAGAGCCGGATCCAGGCTTACCTGGAGAGGAACAAGATCGGTCCTCTGTTTGAGGTAAGGCGCTGTGCAGAAGGACGGTCCCACTGTCTTTAGGCGAAGAGGCGCAGAAACCAAACCAGAACGCCCTCGAGGGGAGGAGGGATGCAGAACAAATGCGCGGGAGAGGGCGCCCGGTGGCCCCAGTTCAGCGGCGTTAGCTCTGCCCAGCCCGGGTGTCCTGGAGCGCGGCCGGGCGGCACCCCGCCAGGTCCCGGGACGCGGACAGGTGAGCGCCGAGGAGCCTCGCCTCCGCCTGCGAGGCGGTACTGAGCCAGGTCACTGTCCTGCACCGCGTAGCCACATGTGCAGGACCCGGGCAGACTGGGATAGAGGATGCGCACAGATGCACACACTCAGATGATCACACACACACACACACACACACACACACACACACACACGCAACGGGAGTTCACACTACCTTGCGTGGTTTCTTTTGACGTGGGCGGTAGTAAAACCCGAAAAAGTGGAGGAGGTGCTTAGCAGTAGAAAGGAACATGGGTAACTGAGGAAAAAAAGCCAGTGGCAAGGAATAGGCTTCAGTAGGTGCAGGCGTGTTGAAAGACATTAAAACCCGGGGAGACTGACGTTGATCTCTGGATGAAAGGAGAGGCCTTGGCAGCGCAGACCCCACCTGGGTTGCGGGGAAGAGGGGAGGAGCGCGGTCCGGGGAAAAGCACAGAAATGTCTACGGGAAGGAGACAAATGGCTCGGAGCTATTTTCTTTCGCCATGAAATAAATGGTGGCAAAACCACAGCGTGAGGAAAAAGAGCGGGAGGCTTAGAAACTCGAGAACCAGAGGCTGGAACCCGGCGCTAGCAAAGCGTCCCGCCCGTTGCCGGGGCGCGGGGCGCGGGGTGGGGCCGGGCGCGTGGGTCGGGGCCGGGTAGTGTAGTCTGACGCCGAGGCCTGCGGGGAGCCCCCCTCCCCCAACCCCCAGCCCCCAACCCCAGGTTTAAGGTACAGTCGGGAGAGTGCGTCCCTGGGCTCCCCTGAAGCAGCCGGAGGAGCTGTTCTCGGAGGACACTCGGTGAGGACAAGAGAAAGAGCATAGGACATCACAGGGAAGGGAGCAGCCTTTCCAGGTCTGAAGAGATGAGACAGGGAGCTGGAAAAAAAAAAAAGGCACGAAAAGAGAGGAGGATAAAGGTGTGATGGAACAGATCTTCTCTCTGGGAGAATGGGTTTCCAGTACCCAGGGCTTGCGATAATTACCAAAGTTTATCTGCCCAACTTTTAAGTTAACATAGTTTCTGGTGAGGTAAGACCATTATTTGAAATGAAACTCCTTGAAAGGGGTCCCAAAGTCCCACAGCTGTCCTCACTTCTGTTTCTACCTTTTTGTTTCCTTGAGCAAAGGAAGTCCCATCTGTGTTAAAGGCTGTAGCAAAATAGAACTGCTGGAATTACCAGCCTTGTAGCGATCGTAGACTCTGCACAATCCCATTTTAGTGGAAAGAAGGCGCACGCACATGACACAGGCACACACGCAGAGTGAATATATGTGTATAACCCTTTATCACATGCTAATTGCATCATAAGCATCATAAGATAAATAGATTTGGAATTTTTATCTGCTGGCCGCTCTCCTAGAGTGTAAAACGCGATTAGACAGGGAAATACACATGAATTGTTCTTAATAGATGCTGTTCTCATTTAACTTGTTTCAAAAATTTGAAGATTCCAAGTGGTAATAATTTTGGAATGTATGTAAGCTTTCTACATAATTAGGAAATAATCCTAATTTCATATTTATCAAGTACCAGCCATAATGCTCATGAGCTAATTCTGCACTGAAAAATTTTAAATGATAGCAAAATTGTCCCATAAAAGCTTTAGCTCTCCTCACCAAAAGAATAAAATAAAATAAAATTATATGCTTTGTAGTTTGTTGAATGTATATGACATGATCTCCACTAGCTTGGATTGCACTGATGAATAGTTAATTTTTAAGGGCTGATGAGTAATTTGTATAATTGAGCAAAGAAAAATGAATAATAAATTCTCCTCTACTAAAATCAGGATGGGACAACAAGATGCTTAGTCAACAATTTTGATCATGATACAGCTTGGTTTTGAGAGCAGAATTAAGTGTACTTCACAAAGTTGGGAAATCTACCAGCCTATCTTACAGCTTCTCTCTCTCCTGGTGGTAGAAGGCAAGTGAAGAAATACCACCCGTGAATTGGACATTGTTGATCTAACATTCTCGTCAAAGTTGTCAGGACTTACATAGTGGTTCTCATCTGATTAAGGAGGTCAGAAGAGGTTCCTAAGAATCTGAATTTATAAAGTGGCAAAAAATGATTTTGCTAAAGGTGTAAGTTCTGGAGAACATTTTAAGAAACAATGAAAAAGCTAAAAATCTTTATTAATCAATAGAAATTGAAATAGCAGCTTCATTTTTCTTATGTGTGCTTTGTTATGATTTGTTGTCAAGGCCCTGGAGCAAGTGACACTTACTTTAGCTTTTGGCAAATTCAGTATCTGATAATATGTCCCCTTGTAGATATCATAAATTAGGAATGTTTTCAGGATAATTTTTTGGAGTGAGACACTTTAAAGAGAATATATGAAGGCTAATTTGAATAAGAGTAAAGATAACCTATACATTGGTATTGAGAATACCTGTTTCTTCTAAATTTGTGATTTTTTTTTGCTTAATTTGGTGATTTAGCTACTTGGTTTATTTATGCCTAATATTTTATTTAAGATGCTTATAAAACACATACTGAATGCAACGTGTATTCCAAAAACTGCTTAACTTGAAATTAGTTTTATTTCCAAATGATTTAAGAGCATAAAATTATACTGCCTTGAAATGTGATTGACGATGTTTTGAAATACTATGTAATCATGCCTAAAAATTACCAAGAGTCCTGGCTAGTGATATTTTAATTAAATATTAGGTAGCTATAACTGAGAATGACTTACAGTATGTTCTGCAAACTCTTGGAAATTTTGGTAACATATAATGATTTCGGTGTTTTGATTGGCTTATTTACAGCAGGTGGACCATGAAGAACCTGTTCATCAGTTTATAGGAATTCTTGACATAGCTGAAATAAGGTCGATCTATACTCCTATTTAAATACTTCACGTATACCTTACTTAACCGGCAAGGTGTGGAATGTTTAGGCTTCTACTAAAATAGAGCATTTTTACAATGTACATTAGGCAAGATGCTTGGTACAAGCGCTGGACTTGTCTCAAACCCTGAGGACAGCCAATTAATAGGCAGAGACATGGGCAATGAGAAATTCTGAAACTAAATAATTGTCTGTAGTCTACTACAGCTATTTAGTACACTATAAATGGTCTGTTTTGTCTACACTGTAAACTGTTTAATTTAGGTCTTGAAAAATGATGTAGAATAAATTCCTTTTTTTCCACATAGAAAAGTGTAATTTTTAGTGTCTCTCATTCCTATTAAATAAATAAAATGGTTGCTACGTTACATACTGTTATCTTCAACCAAGTTGCTCAGCCAACCAGACATAAAAATGGAAGATTGATCCAACAATCAAAGACAGTAACAAGTAAAAAAAAAAAAAAAACAAAACAAACCCTTGATCAGTCTTACATTCCCGGGAAAGGGAGCGGGACGGTAAAGTGGCAACCAGAGGAAGTCTGTCCATGGTAGTGCCCCGTGCGTTGACTCTGTCAATATCAGTGTCCTGCTGGTGATATGAGGCTATAGTTTTCATGGTATTCCACTGAGGGAACATGGCTACGTGGGATTACCATGTATTATTTCTTATAACTGCATGTGAGTCTACAATTACTTCAAAATATTTTAATGAAAAAAATTACTGTCATATACTTTTGCAAATTTAAACATAATTAGGCAGGTGACCTAACAGAAAAAATAAAGCAAATTAGAAATTAGTTAACTGGAAGGTAAATTGATTTCAGTATACACATAGATCAGATAAAGATGGAGTGGATAAAGCGATGGGAAATCTGAGAGGAAACTATTAGGTAAGCAAACTGTGATTTTTATGGTAGGGCGATCATGGTACTTCTCTAGACAATTTTTATCTCAAAATATTTTATTTGTAATAAAATGGTTGTAAAGTCCTTTGGGCTTGACCGTGGTGGGATGTGTCCGTGTGATGTGATTGACAGTACACATGGATGGGTAGAAGCGACTGTCCCACATGATGCCCCTGCTTCCTGTGCCACCCTCTGTGCCTCTGACTACAGAGCACAGTCCAGGGTGTGTGATGACCAGTATCTGCTCACAAGGTGTTTGTTCACATGCTTCATCATGTCCTATCTCAAAGAAGGTCTTAGGATCTTGAGGGTGGGAAACTGTTCCACGCTTCGTTTAGCGTCTGGAGTAGTGTCTGGTGGAACGTAGGCTCTAAAGCAGGGGCTCGGCAGATGTCTGTTGAAGTAAGCAAAGGATTGACTTGTGCATTTTTTTTTTTTTTTTTTGCCTTCTTGGAAGAGAAAAACTAAAGGAACTGGTTAGCAAATAGCATCTTAATATTTATTGTTTTAAAACCAAGAGAAAAATATCTCACATTCCATTAATTTACATTTATGCATAGTGAATAACTTTTAATTATGCTCTTAGCTACATAATTAGCTTAAAGCAAACCTTTCCTTTTTCATATTTGCTTTCAAGAGTGGAGATGATAAATTAATTGACACCAAAGTGCAGGATGTAATATATAACCATCCCAAGTGGATTCGCGTTTAATAGGGAGTAGCATGACACATCTATATATTTGTAGGAGAGGGAGGCAGGTAATATTTGGAGGTACCTCAGTTTGAGCAATCACTTACTGTCTGTTTGACCCTGAGCAAGTTATCCCACCTCTGTAAACACTAGTTCATTTGCAAAATAATACCGAAGAAAGTATTATGAGGAACACATGAAATGAAAAACATAAAGAATGCACTTTGGGGCTGGGGATTTAGCTCAGCGGCAAAAGCGCCTGCCTGGCATGCGCAAGGTCGTGAGTTCGGTTCCCGGTACCGGAGAAAAACCAAAAAAAAAAAAAAA